AAATTGGCAGAAGTTGTTGTTCACAATCAATCATTTTAGTTATTCCATAAACAATTTCAATTAAATAAGTATAAAATAACAAAAATGCTCTCAATTTTTGTCAAATCATTTGGGCCCATTGTTTATTAATCAAGTATATTTTTGTCATTTTGATTCTTATTCAACATAATTCTCCCGAAATGATCAAAATAATTGATGATGGGCAAACTTATAGACAACTTTTATTGATTTCAAATTTTAATGACCAAAATGAGGGTTATTCAAGTCTCATTTCCTATTATTTTTCCAAGCATTCGCTAAAAACCCCAATGCCACGTGGAAGAAACCATTACATGCTTACGTGTCACCCATTATCGTTTCATCGCAAAAACTCACTAGCCCTCCCCTCCGCCCCTATTTATAATCCACCTCCTCACCCCATTCACTCATTCCTTAAACTTCCTATATAGAGCTCTCGCCGGAAAAGGTAAGATTCCGATTGGTTCCCAACCTGCGTCGCCGGAAAAAAAATGTCTACGAGCACGAGCAACACCTGGTTACTCACTCTAAAGGTTGCGCTGATATCCACTGGTGTGGTCTCCATGGCCGTGGGGCTGAAACTCTCAGCTCCAGTGGTCGCCGACGCCGTCACCTCCCATGTCCCTTCTCTCTGGAGCTCCGCCGTCTCCTGGCTCAGTCCTCTGTATCTCTACATAATCATCAACTGCATCATCATCAGCATCATCGCCTCCTCCAAGCTCCACCCCAAACCCGAAGATTTGACGCCGGTGACGGAGCCGGAGCTGGTGAGGGCCTCTCCCGTGACGACAGCAAAGATATCTGCACAAATTAGTCCCGACTACTCAGCGTACGACGGCTTCGTTCCGAGTGAGTCCGGTTACGATGAGAATGTTCTGACGAAGGTTTCGGATTCGTACGGAGGAGTGGTAGTGGAACCAATGGTTTCGGAGGTGGTGAAGGGGAAGGAGGAGAATAGCGAAGATCTGGGGGCGATTGAAGGCGGAGATGAGGCAGCCGCGGTATCGACGCCTGTAAAGACTAGTTTACAGAGGAAGGACTCTATGGAGTTCTGGTTGAACGAGAACCAGAAACCGCCGGTTTCCGCTCGTATCGGTCACAGAAAATCCGTTAAAGCTAGCCCTGAAGGTACCACTCTCTTTCTCTGTGTACGACTTGTCGTATAAGCCTTGGAATATTCGGATAGGAACAAAGAACCGGACTGGCCGGACCGCTTTACCGTTCGGTGGTCAGAGCGCCGCCTGGATTTTGCTTTTGTTATTATCGTGTAAATTCAAATTTATTTCTGATTGTAAAATATCGGAATTGACCTCGTCGTGTGGGGGCAGAAGTGTAATTGCACTGTGAAATGCCCGGCGTGGAATTTGAGTAGACGATGTCACAATGGTAAATTAACGAGTTTGTTTTGGCAGGGGGAAAGTCGTTGGGAGTGTCGAAGCCGAAGCGGAACGACACGCTGGAGAGCACGTGGAGGACGATAACGGAAGGGCGCTCGGTGCCGTTAACGAGGCACCTGAAGAAGTCGGACACGTGGGACACGCAAGTGCGGGGGATAGACGAGAACACGCCGCCTCCGAAGCCCAAGATGAACAAGTCGGAGACGTTCCAGGAGCGGAGCAGCGCGAACTCTCCGCATCCGAAGCCGAAAATGAACAAGTCGGAGACGTTGCAGGAGAGAAGCAGCGCGAACTCGCCGTCGCTGGCTCGGTCGTCGGGGTCGGGGCGGCTGAGGAAGGAGCCGTCGCTGAGTCAAGACGAATTGAACCGGCGGGTGGAGGCGTTCATCAACAAGTTTAACGAGGAAATGAGGCTGCAGAGGCAGGAGTCGTTGAATCAGTACCAGAAGATGGTGAACCGCGGGGCCAAGGCTCCAATGGCTCATTAGTTTAATATATATTTATAATTATAAACTTATAGAGTTACTTGAATCTAATGGAAGACGTGACACAAAATCGAGCATAATGACGTTTTATGATTCATATAGCTGACCCTACTTAATGGGAAAAAGCTTTGTTGTAGTTTGTATTTATAATAATAAACAAATAAAAAACATGCAAAGTTGTTCTTGTGGGTTTTGAAAATTGCAATCAACTCCAACGGTTAAGTTGTACTTATAGAGGACTTGAATCTAACGGAAGATATGACATAGAATCGAGTGCAATGATGTTTTATGATTCATATAGCCGACCTCACTTAGTGGGAAAATGCTTTGTTGTTGTTTGTATTTATAATTATAAAGAAATAAAAAACATGCAAAGTTGTTCTTGTGGGTATTGAAAATTGCAATCAACTCCAACGGTTAAGTTGTAAAGATGTTTGAAATCCAAATCAATATCTGCATACTCAAGTGTAGCGAAATTGGTTAAACAACATGCTTTTTTTCCCTTAAGTTGGAGTTTCATTGTCCAAATTTTTGAATTAGATTACGTTAATTGTAATATTGTTCGAATATTAAAAAACTTTTATGTCAATGACTAGTACTGGTGGATTCATAATTATAACATTGGGTAGTCCTAATCAAGGTACAGTAGGCACAAATGGGAGGGCGGGCTATTAAGTGTTTATTTACACTTAGAGTATTGAGAATGTGCGTTTATTATTTTAAACGAGCTAGTAAGTGTATATTTACACTTAGAAACTATACTTGTATTGTGAATTTGCGTTTATTATTTTAATTAGGTGTATTGTTTAACATATATATGACATACAAAAATATCATAATTTTTGCTTTAGTATTTTAGTGAATTTGATGGTATGAGATGAAAGATCATTTGGAATTCGTAGTACTTTACAAAAAGCTTCCCCTGCATAGCATCTGCACAGTCATGGCAGCCTTCTTTCTTCCACCACTTGCCCAGACTGTTGGGTGGTTCTCAGAGATCCTCACAAGCGGTTCTTCAGACCTTGATGATCCCAAGACCACTCGGGTCCATGGATGGATCCGCTTCTGGCTATGACTATGAGCCCTTCTAGATTCATTTGTTTACCAAAACACCTTCTTGAGGAGATCAAGAATAAGGTTGAGACTCGGAGGAATGGAAATGAGATCAATTACTTGCTAATTTTCAAGTATTTATTTATCGATAGCATGTACTTAATAACCTGTGTTAGTATATATAGTAAACACAAAGAAATACAAGAATTATAGGGCGTGTTCACATAAAATAAATAAATAAATAAAGCTAAATGGTATGAGTATCATTCCTGCTCATGTGTTTACTAACGCATTGAAAAGTAAGTCCCTTCTATTGGTTTGATATGGCATGCCTGAAAAATGACGAGTATCCTATTAACGTAGGGAGTTATTTATCGCATACCCAATCATTCTCATGCCCATAATGCTTTCAATACAAGTATTTTTCGTCTAGTTCTTTGCCCCTACTCTGAATTCCTTTCACCAATCACAGCAGCCAAAGCATTTCAAATGCAGAGATGATGAGATCATGAAACATTTATGGAGTAAAACCCTGGAAGAGAAGAAGACATCATGTTTGTATCATAATTGCGAAGGCGGTGGGTGGTGAGGTAAGTCTAACCCCAATAAATATTGGGGTGTGTTATCCACACATCCTATTTTACTTCTTACACACCCCTTGATAATTTATATCCGTTGATCTTCTTTAATTCATCTGATCCGACGGTCGAAAATTAAAAAGGTGTGCGAGAGTAAAATAGGATGTGTGAATATCACATCCCTAAATATTTAGCCTAAATTTGGCACTGTGGACGTGGCCAAAAAGCTTTGGAAAATGTTTCTGCTTCTGGATAAAGCACTTCAGAAAAAGTACACCTCCATGTACTTGTAGTGGCTAACCTGTTAAGTTCTTTTTATAACCACGTAAATAAAAAATAGTGGAAATTTTGTTTTGGCTGGCCTACAAAATCTTCCATTTCAGACTTGAAGAAATAGTCCAGTCTGCATACTCCACCAGTATCCACCGTTTGGGCTTCCCTTCCCTTGTATTTATACTGTTGCCATCTTCTTGGACCACATCATTTCTGATTAATGATGTCATTTTTCCCAATTCCTAATATGAAGGTTATCAGACCTACCCAATTTAGACATCGTTTTCACTCTCCTTTGTGTCAATAGTCGAAGAAAATGGCTACCATCGGCCAATTCAATCGACAGAATGCGTCGACGAGTTTGCGGTGTATGGAAACCGTATCCATTTTTAGAAAAAAATATACCATACGCGTTTCGGAGTTATTGGGCACCCCTTTCCTTAGGCGCTAATAATACTTCGCTACTCAAAAGATGAGTATGATTTCTTACACTGAATTGTTCGTTGTCGATTTGAAGAACTTTATGTTTATGATCGGAACTGTTCATATATAAAGCACTCTATAAAGATCGTATTTGCAAAAAATCACTTAAAATTAAGATTGTTTTGTCTTCGAATTGGATAAGAATCGATGAACGGAATTGGTAAAAGCATTGTGGATCATCTAGAATTTTGCTTCAATAGATTGACTAAATGATCTTAGTTTTAACTCACTTTTTGCAAAGATGACTTTACAAAGTGATTAATATTATAAACAGTTTTCTAATTGTAAGCACAAAGCTCAAAGTTCCTACTCATCTTTGAACAGCCGGGTATTGCTCGGTTTTTAGGGCAAGTTCCACCAATGAGCTCTTAGCAATGGCTAAGAATCTTTACCTAATGGCCAACATCCAAAACCTTTCATGCCATAATGTCATTAAACACCTTTCCTTTTGTCAAGAGAACGAAAAAATGTTCGCTATTCTAGCTGACAGTTAAACCGATGAGGCTTTCCTAATAAGTTCATAACTGACATGGTTTGATCAAACCACTTAGTACTACAGTCTAATGATATTCTTCTTCACTTGTAAGTGAGAGGTCTTAGGTTCGATTCTCGCCAAACGCGAATTTGAACCACATTATTGCTAACCCATTGTGAGATTAAGCTCATCCCCTCCCCCCCTTAATGTAGATAATATTGTTTATTCAGAAGAAAACAAAAAACAAAAATATGGTTTGGTCAAATATGATGTTCTTCCTTACAGGATTCCTATTTACCTCAGTTTGAATGATGAAATCAGAATACTTTACAAGGGATTCACATTATTTTCGCTCTTACCATCTTATGCAATTTTAGTATAGATTTACACATAACTAGAACTGTTGAATCCTGTACATTGCCATTGTGGAAGTGTTTCGACGTTTATTTCATTGAGCAAATCTCTACATTGCCATTGTAACTGGGAAAAGCCTATCCAAGAAAGTATACACACCCCCTCCTAACAGAAGTGCACCGCTGTTAAAACAACAAAATTCAAATATGTTAGTGAAAGTCGTTCAGCGACCCCAGGTATTTGAGAAATGAGCAAATAGCTCATAAGACATCCTAGTTGCCTTGTGATGGCCCGAGAATCACCAAAGTGCTCACTAGGAAGGGGGTTGAAAGTTGACAGACTTGTACAATATATACCACCTCAACAGTCGATTACTGATGATGGAGCTTAGTTCCTATAATTTGGGGGAACTCAAATATACTAACAAGTTTTCGAAGAATTAAAACGACAAGGAAAGGTATTGAGTGTTACCTGATTGGGTTTATCCATGCTGAAAATTTGCGAAATGAAAGTAGGCTCTACACAAAACATACATAGGTTTTGCTCAGGAAAAAGGAAAAAACATTGAAGCAGAATACGATAATTATTTACTCTAATTAATCACGACTTTGAAACAAAAGATTGAATGCATAGGTTTCCACAGAAATGACTATGATCTCATTTTGAGTTCCCATCCACGTAGTTTTTTGTCAGTTGATATGACTTCTATTATTGTGTTCTTGCATATTCTTTCTGATTTCTTTTTTCTTTTCCCAACTTCCGAACCATTCTTTGTTGTTTCTTGTGATTTAAATTCATTCAATATTCAACTCACAATTACAGATGAAATGGAAGGTTAAAGTTGCCAACATTGCTAAGCAGACTTTCCAGAGACATTCACTCATAAGTCTTGAATCTTTTAGTATGAGGCCCGTCACAGGCGGGAGAACGCAATAGGAAAGAAATATACTGGAAGCATTCACTAACCGTTATGTTCTAACAGAACTTACAACACATCTAGAAGGTGATAGACCACATACCTGCAGTGCTCCAGCAAAAGAAGCAGCAAGAAGTAGAGGAGCAACATAACCGCTTGTGTACGTCAAAAGTAAGCTGCCTCCTATAACTGGATTCTGTAATAAAATTTGTCCACTTAAACTAAAAATATCCGCTATGTATGTACACAAACTGCGAAAGGCACAACTTAAGCTGGCAAAGAGTACTGAGAGCATCAACTGTTTTGAATTTGCATGCTATAATATGATATCAGGATGGATAAAATAAAAATCTTATATATGACATTCCAGAGATGATTGACTGAGACCAATAAGCAACATCGAAGGAATTTACAATGACCCTCCTACATCATCTGCCTAACTGCAACTGATTTACACTACAATAAAATATTGAGTTTTCCTCCAAAAATGTGATCATCCATAACCTCCAGTTAACAAAGGGTTTGAGGGAGTTTAATAACTGGTCCAAGAGCATCAGTCGAGTCTCTCAAGCATTAGTGAAGAACTTGTACTAAAAATATAAAGATTCTTCTGCATCTATCTATCTCCTTTCAAGAGTAAGAGATTCTGAATATGCCAGGCTATTAACGCATGCACAAATGTAAAGCTACAGCTTTTGCTATCAGTAATCTCAAGAAACCTGAAAGCTAAAAAGAAATTCATGAACATCAAACATTTGAGTTTACCTTAGACGTAGCAACATATCCAAGCAGAGTGGCCAGCACTGGCGTACTGCATGGTGAGGCAGCTAAAGCAAATGTAAGCCCAGCTAGATATGCTTGCACACCTAATACGTCCAAGTTGAAACTTGTAAGATCAGTTGGACAACCAGCTTTTATCTAAACCACAAAAGTCTATAACATTATGGTGGGTAGTTACTTGAAGGGAAATTAGCAGCAGCAGCCCGGGGATCAAAATTGCTAAAAAATGAGGGGAGCTGTAGTTCAATTACCTGCAACATCAACCCATATGGTGATAGCATAAAACTAAGGGATAGCATAAAATCAGAAAGAGTAGTCAATCAAAGTGAAAGATAATATCCAATAAAATAAGCGCATTCTAGGCCAAAAAAAAAAAAAATGTTAGCACATGAATAAATACCTCAAGGAGATTCAGGCCCATAATAATAGCTAAACCTGAAGCAGTCAAAGGTAACCCCTGCCCTGTCTGTCCATATGCCTTTCCAGCGAATGAGGCTCCTATGCCTAAGAGTGCAAGTGTAGTTGCCAATCCTAAGGAGAACGCAATTGAATTCCCAAGAACCTGACCAATAAAGGAACAGTAACCTCATGCTATTGCTAGGAATATGTGCGTGTCAGCTGTCAGAAAGAGAGCAAAAGAGAAAGAGAGAGTAACAAAGGCAATCAAAAGTAGCAAGTTATCACCTCTGCCTTGCTTTTCCCTGAGCCAAATGCTCCTGTATGATTCAAATAAATTCATATAAGCATTACGCATGATATATGCAAAGGAGTCACTGTCTATCTTCATGCAAAACGACTCCTCTCCCCCCATTTGTCTCCATATCCATGAAATAAAAGACTTATAAATGCTCACCTATGTAACCTAGGGTCAGCGGTAAAACGCTAAGAGTACAAGGAGAAAGGCTGGTCACCAGCCCAGCCCCAAAAATAACTGCCAAACTGTAAAGACGAACAAGCAATGAGAAACAGTGCATATTCGAAGACAGTAAATCATCAAAAATAAAATTGTAAATGAAGACGTGAAGGTGGGACTGAACCTAGAGAAACTGAGGGCTGATAGCTGGTCTTGAACAGCTTCATTAGCATCTTGTCCAGCAGAAAATAGGAAGCCTCCAAACCATTCTCCAGGGCCTCCATCAGCCAAGGTATATACTGAAACAGCACCGTCCTGTCTCGGAAAAGAATTCTAGTTCCTGAGATTATATATGAGAACTATAACTAGGATACAGACTTTAATAGTAGTTCTGACCCAGGTACTGACAATCTAAACCATCATCATGAAACAACAGAACGACAAAAACTGTAAGGACTGTGCAGCAAAATGATACCGAAATTTTGAAAAGAAAAAAAAAATCACTGAGAAGGTATAATGGCAGCAGCAATGAAGCAAATTCTCACCAACATTTTCTCCGTGCTAGCCTTTGCCAAGTCGGCAAAGACCAAATTCGCCGCTGAAAAATGAGAAACAAAAAACCAACTCAGTTACAAGAAAGTTTATAGAGTACATCCGATCGCCTTGAATCAACTGAGAATCACAAGTAACATGGAAGATTTCCTTCGTGCCATGGCTGTTAATGAATGTAATTATCTACATGTATATTATATAAATATGCAAGTGAATCAATAAAACGTAAATGTTAAAATGAATAGCCAAACCACAAATATAAATGGAAGATTTCCATAACTTATTCAAAACTAATACATTTTCAAATTTCAACAAAAAAAACCTTCCGAACCCGCCAAAAAACCATCAGGAAACGAGTGATCTAAAACAACAGCTAATTTCTCACAGTTCGAAGGGTATAAAAATATTCACGAATTGTCAATGGTATCCAGAAGACAAAGGAAATCAAAAGCTCCTGGCTAATTATATGTCTCTACCTTTGAAGATAGACCTATTCAATTCATTAATCATATGAAAGCTCACTTCTTTGGGAGAAAATAAACAGAGGCCATAGAAACAGAAGTTAATCCGTGTTAAGCGAAGCTGCAAAAGACGAAGGCTTGTTACCTGCCATGGAATTTAAAAAAGTCTTAATTGGGAAGCTGCTAGTGCTGCTGCTTCTATCAGTCTTTGCCAATGATGCAGAATCTTGGCAAGCATCCTGAGGTGTAGAAGTAGAAGCAGGTCCCTTCAGCATTCTGCTGGGCACCATATACTTTTTACCTTCAACACACGAATTTGGGAAACAATAAAATGCCATAACATGCATTAATTAGTATTTAGTAGTAAAACCCACACGAAATCTCTACAAATATATACAAAAGATTCAGTGCTTGAACTTGATAATATATCCCAACATGCAAAATTATAATCACAGTTTACTCACTGTGACTGATTTTCTGGCCACCCTTGCAGCTTGAAATTGTGAAAGGATTAATTCCATAACTGCCGCAATTGTTGATAGCCAAATTCATCTGCATACAGAAATCTCAAAACATAAAAATTAAACACTGGAAGAAATGATCGGGAACCCAGAAAATTGTTCGGCTACATTTTCAATCATTAGTGGATTTGAGCAGAGAAAATCTCAAAGCTTTTTGCTTTTACCTCAAATTTTTCGGATTTGGTTCACACAGCAGCAGTGGAAGCAAGCAAGCAAGCAATCATTGGCAGAAATATCAACACAAACTTTGGAAGAAATAATATCACCATATATGGGCTTACTAGGCTAATGGGCATCTCCAGTAACACCCACAGCACATTGGGTTTAAAACTCAGAAGACACATTTGAGGCCCAATAGTTGTTTTCAGATGTTTATGATTAGAGGCATGAGTTATAAGAGTTAGACATTGGTTGTAATTACTTTTTTTAGGAATCACTTTTGCTCTTAAACGCTTGTGTTAGAAAGCGACTTTATTATACACACGCGTGATGTTTTTATAAAAAACTCAAGTGTAGGTGTGCTTCCAAAAAGCGCTTTTATGAGTTAGTAGCACTTTTAGATTTTTCTGTCATGATCAGTAGTGTTTTTTTGTTGCCAAAAAATATTTTTAGCTATTAGACCATCTCCAATGATAATCTAAAACCTAAAAATATTTAGCCCAGAAAATTTAGGTTTTAGCCCAGAAACAGTTTTTCAACTCCAACCCTTCTGGCCTAAAATTTTAGCCTGAGATTATCAAAGAATGAATTAAGACTATTTTTTTTTAAATAACTGTTGTTAAAAAAAAATAATATGTAGACTATCCTAAATTAATTTTATGAACATTTTAATCTAAAAATATTTAAATTCCGATAAATTTTGAAAAATCATTAAATCAATACATGAAAATCATGATAACTACTACATAAACTTAATACAAACGGCATTTAATAAACCACATAAACTTAATACAAATGACATAAAATTTAAAAAAAAAAAAGACAATTAATAAACCACTTAAACTTAATACAATCGAAATCTCATAAACTACATAAACTTAATAATGATATCCACCATCTTGACTTGGTGATAGACTTGGGTGATAGTCTTGAGATGAATCATCATCTTGAAATATACTCCTTGTGGCATTCTTTAGTAAAATGTCATTTTGCTTACCACGTAAGTATTTCTTCCTCTCTGGAGTGTATTTGTCGAGGTCATCCATCATCAAATTAATTTCGAACCTTTCTTGCTCCCTATCCCCTTCTTCCTTCATGGCCAAACGCATTTGGGCCGATTCTTCTTCCCGATGACATTGGTTTTCATTCATTCTTACAATTTCGCTAGCAAATTGTGCACGTATCGGATCTTGGGACTTTCCTTTTCTCTTTGTTTCCTTTTGCTTATCTCAACCCGGGGGCCTTGCAAAAGAAAGAGTTGGGTTCATTTGTTTGACACCTTCATTGTCGGCAAAATTCACACCTTCATTGACATCATTTGGGGGTGGGGCTTCACTATGAAATAATCTTCCACATTGTTGGTTCGCATCAGTTCCCCACCTCGGACAATCTTTGAGGATGTTCCAAGCATGATGCAACTTAAAATCTTGATTTTTTTGGTGTAGTTCTTGTCTTGTAAATTGTCATTGCTTTGTCACCCTATGCAACTGTGAACACGGAAAATTCCTGAAACGAAAGAGACAAGAACAACGTGCACAAACAAATATTTGTGTTTTTGATGATTTTGGGTTACAATCTCTCTCTATTTTGATCCTCTGATTCGATCTCCGTAAGGTGTTGATTTGTGGGATGTGCGATTGATCCAAGGGCCGTTGAGGCTTGATCTTGGATGAACGAGGATGAACGGATCTTCAAGGGCTTTTGGGCTTGATCTTGAAGAATGGTGATTGACGGATCTTCAAGGGCTTTTGGGCTTGATCTCGAAGAACAGTGATGAACGGATTTCCGAGGGCTTTTGGGCTTTGAACTCGAAGAACAGTGACGAACGGGATCTTCGAGAGCTTTTGGGCTTGAACGGATCTTCGAGGGCTTTTGGGCTTGATCTCGAAGAACAGTGATGAACGATGAACGCTTTCTTCAAGGGCCGTCGGGGCTTGGGCTTGATGAACAGCGGATGAGCGGATTTGTTGGTGTTGTCGATCCAAAGGGACCGTTGGGGCTTGATCCTTGAAGATGAACAGTTGATGAACGATGAACGCTTTCTTCAAGGGGCCGTTGAGGCTTGGGCTTGAAGGTGGATGATTGTTGATCCAAGGGCCGTCGGGCTTGATCTTGGAAGAACGATGAACGAAGAACGCTTTCTTGATTCTTCGGGAACCTGGATGCTTGAGAGCTTCGGAGTTTCAGAGCTTCAGAGCTTCAAGAGTTTTGCCTAATGATTTTTTTTGGTTCCTCTCCTTAAATGAATGAAATGGGCTTGTATTTATAGAATTTTCCAAGGACTAACTTTGAATATAATATTCCAGATGAAATAAGTCGTTTCTGCCAGGTGTTGACACGTGTCCTATTTGATGACTTTTCCAACTCATTTCAATTTTTGTTGAGACACACGCTACGTGTAAAATTTATGTAATACATGAGCGTTGACACTTTGATTTATCGGTCAACATTTATTTACCGAAATTTCGATGTCTACAAATGCCCCCACTTCAAGGCGCGCCGTATACATGTGCTTGTCGCGTGTAGGAGATGCGTTTTGAAGTCCCTTAAGGTAGATGTCGATCCAAGGACCGTCGAGGCTTGATCTTGAATTGGGCTTGAGATTTCTTCAAGGGCCGTTGAGGCTTGATCTTGAACTTTGTTTGAAATTCTTCAAGGGCCGTCGAGGCTTGATCTTGAAGGTTGAAATTGGACCACAAGGAGCTTCATGTGGTAGATGATCTTTGGCTTTGGTAGTGGGCGAATCGGCACATATTTTGTTGCGCTTGTTGACTTTCCACAGCTTTGATTTTGAACTGGGTTGAAGGATTTTCTGGATTCCTCCAATTGTTGATTTTCCACAGCTTATTCTTGAACTAGGTTTTGATTCAAGGGTGGTAGACACTTAATCTTGAATCGGACTTGTGATTTCTTCCAGGGCCGTCGAGGCTTGATTTTGAATTTGGCTGGAAGCTTCTTCAAGGGCCGTTGAGGCTTGATTCTTGAAGGCTGACTCGAACACGTGGCAAGCAGGCACGAGGTGAAGGTGATGACTTGTTGCTTTGTTCAATCTTTCTAATTCACACCTGAGCCGTTTGGTCAACGGTATGATCTTCGAGATTGATGGGATCTTCTTCCAGTTGGTGACTTGATCTTTAAGGATTTGATTCAAGGGTGGTGAATCGGCACGTGCAGCCCACAACGCCTAGTAAGTCGACCCAAGAATTTGAGGGTCAAAACAAGTTCACCGTCATCAGGCAGATGCGACATCTTCTCGAGTTCTTCATCTCAGACTCTTTCTGCTGAGTTGACTGTGCATGCTGCATTCTTCTCTACTTGTTTCTTCAGGCAGATGTGGCAGCTTCTCGAGTTCCTCAGTTCAGACTCCTTCTGCTGAGTTGACCGTGCAGACCGCATTCTTCTCTGCTTGTTCCTTCTGCACCTTGTCTCCACATGCTGCAAGGTATCATTTTCACTTGCCTTATCTGTTCTCCAGGCAGATGTGGCAGCTTCTTTGAAAGTACAGCAGCAGTGGAAGGCGAGTACTCGAGAGCAGTGCTAGGTAGGCAATCAGGGAAGGGTTCCAAGCAGTCGGTTCCTTACCCGAGTTTGAGTGGAAGTTCCGGCATATTGTTTTCTTTATCCTTGTCTTTGTAGGTAGGAACAAGGCCAAAGGAAAGGACAGGGAGAGTGCATGATATGATACTCTTGCTTTCTACCCTGGTGATATGAGATACTTTTGCTTTGGAGTCATTGGCTTGCAGAGGTACTCCAAGGAATAAGGAACACTGAATGACTCGAGAGGTTTCGTTGGGAAAACATTTTTTTGGATGAAGAAAGGCTCTGTATGTCTGCCTTGCTATGGAAGGCGAGGGTAGACAATTATAGGAAGTTCTTTGATACCTGTAGAGGTACTATTCTTTCACTCGTGTCGGCGACCGATGCGTGATTGATCTATACGGCTTCACATGCTTGTTTCTTTATCAGAAATTTTCGACAAAATTATCCGTAATTTCCGCCAAGCTGAGTGTGCATGTGACAGGTGTTGACGCGGCTGAAAAAGACTGGCGCCTCTTCGATAACTGGGATCGACGCTTCGACAAATTACCCGTGATTTACGCAAAGCTGAGTTTGCATGTGATAGGTGCTGACGTGGCTGAAAAAGACTGGCGCCTCTTCGATATCTGGGATTGGCGCTTCGACAAATTACCCGTGATTTCCGCAAAGCTGAGTTTGCGTGTGACGGGTGTCGACGCGTCTGGAAAAGCAAGATGCTTCTCCGATTTCTGAGCTTGCCTCTTCGATTTTTGAATGGCCTCTTTGAATTCTGAGCTCACCTCTTCGATCTCTGAAATCCCGTCGAGTGCCGTTTTTTTATAGAGGTACGCAGTTCGTTTCAAAGCACACAATTTTCGCTTGTAGAAACTCCCTTCTTGCACTTCTAAGGTCTTGATTTGTCCGACCTCTTCTTTCTTCAACACCTTTGAAAATGTCTGGACCCTCCGACCGTCGTTTTGATTTGAACCTTGATGAAGAGGTAGTCCCGCCTTCTCCAGATAACATATGGCGCCCATCCTTCATATCCCCTACTGGTCCTCTTACTGTTGGGGATTCGGTGATGAAGAATGATATGACTGCTGCGGTGGTGGCCCGGAACCTTGTCACTCCCAAAGATAACAGACTATTTTCCAGGCGGTCTGATGAGTTGGCTGTTAAGGAGTCTTTGGCTCTTAGTGTGCAGTGTGCGGGTTCTGTGTCCAACATGGCCCAACGCCTATTTGCTCGAACCCGTCAAGTTGAATCGTTGGCGGCTGAAGTGATGAGTCTCAAACAGGAGATTAGGGGGCTCAAGCATGAGAATAAACAGTTGCACAAGCTCGCACACAACTATGCCACAAACATGAAGAGGAAAATTGACCAGATGCAGGAATCTGATGGTCAGATTTTACTTGATCATCGGAGGTTTGTGGGTTTGTTCCAACAACATTTACCTTCGTCTTCTGGGGTTGTACCGCGTAGTGAAGCTCCGAATGATCAACCTTTGGCTCCTCTACTTCCTGGAGTTCCGCCGAGTGGTGAGGCTTCAAACAGTCAACCTCCAGCGCCTCTCATTTCTGGAGCTCTGCCGAGTGGTGAGGCGGCACCTGATCGTCCTTGAAGATCCCCTCTTGTA